ATTTCAATAGTATTGCACAAAATGACCAATTAGTCTTCTATTCAATTAAGGCGCTGAGCTCGTCTGATAAAACATTCTATATTTTGATTGAGTTTCCAGTAACTTCACTATATTACAATGTTTCAATATCATAATTTAAAGTAATGCCGTGAAAGGAAATGTATGTATGTGCTATGATTATTCCCAATGATTGGCTTTACTGCTTTGAATCCAAAGTAAGGCACTGTAAGTTGTTAGTAAAGTCAGAGTAGCTTATCCCAAAAGATATGTAGAGAAAGGCTTGCAGAGTGAGAACGAGCTGTAACACAGTGTAATATATACAGTACATCAAACCAGTGAAGCGTTTCAGCTCCTCTGTGACAGACAGACAGGAGGGGGGGGGAAATCACTGGAATTTTACATTTTGCAGTACGGCCATCTTATGTTTCCCACTAACAGCGATAAAAATAAATAAACGCTCATACAGGGAGATATTGAGTAGTCCTTAACTGAAAGACATCAGAACAACTCAAAATGTCAGAAAGTCGGAAATAACCTCAAGGCTGCACTGAAAAAACTGAAAGGTTGACATTAATTAAATGTATTATGTCAACAAATTTCACATAACTGTTTAAGCTTTGTTGAAAGCAATAATATGAAGTTGAACCTAATATTTTTCACTTAAAAGTATTGCTTTCAACTAAATCTGTTGACATAATAGATTTAATTCAAATCAAAGTTTCCGTTTTTTCGTTGCGTGTCTGAAACCTAATTTACTTACGCACTATTACCCAGACAATAAACACTCTACAATTGACTACATAGTGTTTCCATTGTGGTTTTTGAGAGCACTAGATTGCATACATGTTACACTGCGAGCTGTGGGAACACTGTCCGAGACTCTGAAACCATCAAACCAAACTGAACAGAAGCTTCATATCCATATCCTGAACTCTGTTTTCATGTAGTTCCAGAGAATAATCCTATCCTTCTGAATGTCAGGGGTTGTTTTCACGGTACTTGGACACGGACAGTGCTGACCTTTGATGGGAAAGAGAACCAGAGTCCAATATGGACTTTCTTATTATTTATTCTTCAGGATAAAACCTGATCCATAAAAGGGCAACACGATGGGGGTCAACTGTACACATATATCTTTTGATAAACTGTGTACATTTATTGTCCCATAACCCAGCCAAACAAAGCTTTCAAACTGATCTTTAAAGGTCCCATGGCAGGGCCATTTCTACTGATCATAATTCCATTGTTGAGGTCTACTAGAATAGATTTAAATTGTGCAATTTTCCAAAATCACATTGGTTTCTCATACAGCATCTCTGTATAGTATGTGTATTCACTCTCTGTCCTAAACGGCTTGTTGGAGCTCCTGCCCCCCCCCTCCCTGTGAGCCCAGTGTGCTCTGATTGGTCGGGACGTTGCGAGGCTCGCTGCTGCGAGGAGTGGACAGGTTTCCGGGTCGGCGATACAGAGAGAACAAGCGAAACTCATCCTGAGCACACACAAACACTCACAGCCGAAGTAAAAACAATAAGTGTGGCTTGATATTGAGTAAGAAAGAGGTTTATAACGCTGTGAGAATGGGTCTGCAGAGAGCATTTCTCCGCGATCCCAACTCGTCTATTACCAGCGTTCAGGGAGCTCTATGCAAGTCAATGGGGACTCCCTGTTAGTTAGCCAAGGGATCCTGGTGTGTGAGGTGCTCCGCGGATTGGTCCATTTGGGCCAATCCGGTCATTTGCTGTTGATTTGGGTATTCACACGTCACTGAACCCAGGAAGCAAACAATGGAAAATGAGAAATCTCCAACGAGGCGTTTTGGGGCAGCATAGACAGGTCTTTTCTGTGTTAGAGTTTTACTCGCTACAGGGTGTACTTTGAGGGTTTGTGACCCGTTTACATGCAGAAAAACCTTCATAACACACAATGGGACGGGTAATAACCGGAAAAGCATGACATGGGACATTTAACACAGAGATTATTAATAACCCTCTTGAAAACTTTTCTTAAACCAAAATTGTGTTGTGTGCAAGGGAAAAGTAAACAGAAGAGGGAAAAAGCAGGCCTAAAGTCGAGTTTTTCCCTTTCCTTGGAATCCATCCAGCTTTATCATCTTTGATTCATTTAGGAGACCCATTAGCAAAAACGATGACAGCTAAGCCAACTACTTCCCTTATTGATTAGGCAATTTATCAGTCCTGCCACTACCAATAAACTGTAAATACACATCAGATGCAGTGCACAGACATGTAGCCCTCTGGTTTCAGGAGTCAGAAGGAGGTGTAAACGTAGATTCCCTTATTTTGTACAGTATTTTGATTCTTAAGTGACTTGAAATATAGAAACAGAAGGCTATTGTGGTGCGATATGTTGTTTTGTAAGATTACACTAAATATTGTATTTTTCATCATAAGCAAACTGTAGCATATGTCTGGCATTGTAGAGTTTTTATTGTTATCTAACTCTTTTGGTGTGTGGCCTGAATTGACATCATTACAGGCATTGCTGGTTGACAGCAGAAATGTAACATCCTTCATGACTGAGGGGCCGCCTGGCTCCATATAATGGCAGAATGTTAATATGGAGAATCGCCCATGCAGCTACAGTATAAACAGAGTCTTTTTTCTGCCCACTCCAACATGAAACTGTTCTCTGCTTTCTGTCCTGACACTTAACCCACCCACTGGCTGTGCAGGTTACAAGTCAAGCTGCCCCTGCAGTAGCACAGTGTACTTTGGAAACTGTGAATTGCTAATACTATGTTTGTACATGGTATCAGCTTAAATGTGCAAGACTGTTTTTATTAGATTTTTATATTATGTGATCACGCTTATCAATATTAGATAATTAGATAACAGTGAGCTAAATGTTGACTCTAACTGGATATCGTGTTCAAGCATAGAGCCATATCACATTTCAAAATAGGCAACAGAATCCAATATGTCATATATATGATGAAAATACAATCAATTATAAAATGCATTGGTGCTGTTACTGGAGTGGGGTATATCTGTTTGTGTCTCCATAGATTCAAGATTTGTAAACCCTTTCCAAAAGCAACCAAGCTGATAAAGTCTGTTCTTGTATTTTAATATGCTCCATAAAATATTATACATATTGACAGATGGACCACATACACTGTCCAGCTGTAAGGAATACTCACTAGGGCACCAAAGGTTAAAATAGTCCTCAATAAATGCACCCCTGTTTGAGCTGGACATTGGTGTATGTGTTGCTACATTTCTGAGCCTTCTATAGGATCCAATGGGTCCAAGTGTCCAAATAAGTAAATCTCTAAAATGACACCAGCCATATCATTTAATCATCTAAGCTTGTCAAACTAAACAGAACCACTAAGTGGGACTACTCCCTAGAGAGAGCAAAAATGCAGAGTCAGAATTCACTTAAAGAAAGTAACCCTCCTACAGAAATTGCATGCAAATACAACTTTTAATAAATGAGTAAAACCTGCAGCATCGATTACACTTTGGCAGTCATTCCACTGAGAATGCAGATAGGGAATGTGCACTGCCCGCTGCCAAGACTGCATTAACTGTTATGACTTACAGAGGCAATCAATTCAGGCTACAGCGAAGTGCAGCAGCGGAGAGGGAGGAGAGAAGGGCCACTTTGTTTTAACCACACAAACAGGGACTCGTAACATATCATCTTCTCTTCAGCTTATCTATCCACTGGGTTCAGCCAACATGCAGCTCCATGAAAGCCCTGACTGTTATGCAATGTGCAACACCGGTGGAGATCTGATCTGCCATCAGACAGACATACTGGAGACATTAAACAGAATATGCTATTTGAAAGAACACAATCATTTTGATATTTAACTGCATCCTACTACAGGCTGACATACAAATCAGAATACCTTTATTCATTCCACTGAGTTACAGCAGAGCCAACAAGAGCAAGATATGAATTAAGAGGCATGCATAATATATTAGAGATAAAAAAATAGACATTACCCAAATTACAATTTACAAAAATGCCCTGTCAGCACCTTGGAAAGCAACAATATTACCACTAGTTAGACTATCATGTAATAAAAGCTCAATAATGCCTGCGACTGGGTAAATATGCTGAGTTAGACAATAAGAACCATTTGGAGATATTGTTAGAAATATTAGAAAGGCCTCGGTATAATAATCTGCTGTGAATAAAGCATGTAACCACCAAGAGCATGCACACTTTTGCAGGATATAATCAATCGTCGCCCTCTGCAAACCAGAACATGCACATTTAAAAGCCTGCTGTATATTGTCTTCATGTATGTGAGAGAGACATAGAGACAGATAAAGTGGACGTAAGAAGACACCAACAACACACAGCGGCCACATGCGTCTCGCCATTGAGGCACGTCACACATCGATTGCCCGAACAGTCTCTCCAGCTATAACATATCCTGCCGTGTTATCACCCCCCACAGAGAAAACAGTATGTCGCACAATTAAATGTATTATCGTAACAATGTAATGTCTCTTTGTCGGAAAACATATGCCTGTGTGTGTATGTATGTGTGTAATATGCTATTCCTACACGCTTGTGGGCAGTACCATATATATTGAGCAAGTTACAATACAATTTCACTCGAACTAATTATTTTTCAGAGCATATATCTACATGCCGATAAGACAAACTACGCCTTTTGATTCAGGCTTGATACCAAAACATATTTCAAAAGCTATGTAGTTTTAATAATAAACAATTGAACCTTACATTGCACACATATTATACGGGATTTGGTGTTGGAGAAACGCACGTACATAGTCTGACCTGGTACTGGTTCTGGAGAAATGGTGAGTAACCATGGCTACCGTTGATGAGGCAAAGATTAAAGGGCATCGCATCAGTCGTGCACGAGGTAAATCTTGTTAAAACTGCACGAGCTACATGGGTTGGCAGCTTGCGCTGGGTTAATAGATGAAAGCTAATACAGACCGACAGCTGATATTCATTAAAAGCTCGGTACTACTGTTTCGGTTCTGTCTTACCTGGCTACCGCTGCGGAGCAAACCCGAGCCAACGACTTTGTTTCTTTCTTTCTTCCTCTTCTCAGTATGCTAGGAGAGCAACACAGCGACACCGGACTGTGGTTTGTGGGCGAGTTAAAATGTTTCCTGAAGCAGAGGTGTCTCCAGCCGGCTGTCAAAGAAGAAATGTCGGTAATGCCTCCTCCCAGCAACGCGGTTACTGAACACTCGCTCGGCCGGTCCGTAGAACAGTGACGGTAGAGAGAGACTGCTGCTAATAAATACTGCTAGTAAACGTAGTACAAACAACTCTCGCGAGAACACTGTTTGATTCTCCTGTCAAACCCATGTGTTAAATGCCCACTGTGCTTTTATGTATGTCACAATGACTTTATTTAGCCCTTAAATTAATGAAAAAATAATAATTGCAATTTCACTTTTAAGCACAATTGAAATATAAGATGTATTCAAAAAGCCCTAGCCCTTTGTTGTATACTTTATTATTTTAATGTCTTGTAATTTTTGTTATGTTTATTCTTGTCTTCTGTATGCACCTGCCCTATTCGATTTTTTCCTTTGAAGACAGGTGCTTTGTACATGCCTTTTCACACTAAAGATCTAAAAAAAGTTCCCACTGTAATAGACTGATTGTGAAAAAAGAATATGCTACTAAAACACAGAACATTGTACTGAAATTAATTCTTATTAGGACATTAATTATGAATAACATCCAGGTGAATCATGAAAGAATTAAGGAAATATGATCAGCCGCTCAAATGCTTATGAATTCACAATAATAAATTGCATAATTATAACCACTACCAACATGAGTATCCCCCGTTGTCACACGAAACAGCTTTTTATTTATTAAATCACTTAACTATTACAATTTGTATGCGTAAGCACTCAGAGGATCAGATTATTATTTACCAAAGAACTCAGCCCTGTATGTTAATATGTGACTATAAAGTATGTGCACCCTGTTTACCCATGCCTTTGCCAAAAAAAAAAATCTGAAAATGGTGATACATGCTTACAAAATTATGGAAATTATTTATTTTACTGACAATGTGACCTCTAACTACTATGACTATTATTTGGGTGTGGCTCCATAACTGATCATTGAGCTATAGTGAAAAGAACACTCAACATTGCTCTTGTAAAATAGATAGTATAGCACAGATAGTGTGTTTTTTCTGCAATACATGTGTAGCTTGTGCCAAAAAACAGTCCTGACCACTGTTCCCTACCGATTCTGTCTAAAGCCCACCTGCTTCAGTAATGTTGGCATACCCCAACTCCAACCAAGACCCTGACCTCTTACATCCAAAATAAAGCACTGGATCGGTTGAGTTTACTTCCACACACACACACACACACACACACACACACACACACACACACACACACACACACACACACACACACACACACACACACACACACACACACACACACACACACACACACACACACACACACACACACACACACACACACACTCCGCTCCAGGCTTGCAAAGGGACAACTGTTGGCCGTTTATATTGGCACTGGAGACAACAACTGTTCTGCAAACCATACCACAGGCTTATACGACGGAAGTCACACTTAGAATTGTGGCAATGCTTTTTTTGTGGGTGCATGTCTCTGTGAAGGAGTTTTCAAATTACAACAAAATAACATAATGCCTTTATTTGACACTTTAGTTTCCAATTTCCTCTCATTTCCCCTTATTTTTAGGAAGATAATCCTATTTCATCATCATAAACGGTTACTTTTTACCAGCTGTTCAGTGAAGCTATAGGATGTTGCTTACACTTAGTTGTTATTTGCGCTGCACCATTCCATCAAATGTAAAGATTATACCGGGTGTCTTGTGCACAATTTTAGGCAGACTTCCCGAAAATGTGTCAATACGTTCTGTGGGTAGAGCAAAGCAATTTGGCCAATGCAAAATCTAAACCCATCCTTAGCATTTAAATGCAAGTGTAATATGTATACTGTATATTAACTTGGATTTATATAGCGCCTTTCATGAAACCAAAGGATGCTTTACAATAGGACGAGGGGCCATGGGGGGACAAAAAGGGAAAACAGTCACATTTCACAGACAAGAAAATAAGAAGATAAAGAATTGTTTCTTAGAATAGTACATTTTTGGCCAACTTCCTATGAGCAGAGGTGGAAAGTAATTCACTATATCTACTCAAGTATTGGGCTTGAGTATAATTCTGAAGTGTTTTACTTGAGTATATCCGTTTAGTCATTTCTACTTCTTCTTCACTACAAAGTGAAATAATGTATTTTTTTCTCCACAACCGCTTTAGCTACTGATAGCAAAATAAGTAAGTATTACTTAGCAGAATTGCTACTTTTATTTTGTATGCTTTAAGTACTTTGACTTAATATTTTGAATGCAGGAATTTGACATGTTATAGATTTTGTATTGGTAATTTTGCTCAAATAAAGCATCTGAATACTTCTTCCAACACTGGAATAACAGAAAAGGACACCCAAACACCATCTGAAGGTGAACTAGAGACAGGAGAAAGGACAAGGGGACAGCTTGACGTATGGTGTTGACTCTGTGGGTTAAATCAATTTAAAGAGAGTAAGACGTAATGAAAGTACATCTATTCCAGTGACCCCCCTCTGGAGAGCCATTCAGGGCCTGGGGTTGCTGTGGGGAGGGGAGGGGGGGGGGGGGGGGCAGCACAGGAGATGTCGCTATGACAATAAAGATAAGGTCAACAAGTTTAAAGGGTGATTTATAACATTGTAGTTTTCTATAAATAATATAAGATAAATGTTTTTGCTTTCTTATAATTTTTGTACTTGTCAGAATTCAAGTAACTGCAGTCCTGAAATGTTTTGTTCAGACAACGTACAGCACTTTGTAACTTTAAAAAGTGCTCTATGGATATAATTGTTGTTATTGTATTTGTCCGTTTTAGAATAGAGATCCATTATGTACAGTATAAAGCTCTAGCTCTTCAAATCCTGATGCTCCCGTTTTTATTTGTTTAATTTAAGCATTGCCTGCTCTGCACAACCCTCCAAATACTTTGCATATTTGTACACACGATACATCCACTTCCATAACTATACTGCAGATATTTGATTTTATGTTGTTATTCCAAGTACTTTGCTATAGTATACTGCACGTAGTTTTTTTGTATATCTATATTTCATGTAGTGTAAATACTTTTCTACAGTATGTCTTGACGTATAATAGTTTATTTCGTTTTTATTTTATTTTTTGGATGTTACCTTACTTTTTCTTCTTCTTTAACTGTGTTTATATATGCACCATGTAGACCAAGACCCATTTCTCGTATGTGTTAACCTACTTGGCAATAAAGCTGATTTTGATGATCACTAGCTAGTCTTTGTGCTGTTAGTTGCTGAGGGGGCACAGTGGGTTTATCAGAGCGCTTCGACTGAGAAAGCTGCCGGATCCGGGAAACAAGGTTGATGAGAGGATCCAGACTGAACCCAAGCAGTGAAGTTGTGGCGGACAAATCCAAAATAAGGAGCTGAAAGACAGTAAAAACCTACCAAAGGCTCGGCAGCAATAACTGCTCAGGCCAAAAGAAATACATGTGATTTTCATGCATCAAATGTAATATTCAAATGTGTGCCATTGCTCCTCACAGAGCTGACCTTCGAGAGGAGAGCTGGAAAGTTCAAAATGGAGGAAGCTTCCGTAGACGTTAAGCTGTGTTGCTCCATTCACTTTACAGTATCCTTCTCCATCATTCTAACTGCTACACAACAGAGACACAACGCTCCAATAAACACACTGTACACTGCCTTCTCAGCAGCAACAAACACACTGCTGGTGAAAATAGTGGAGCGTCGAGATCTAAGAGCAAGATTTTTTGGCTGATGGAGTAACCCATATTTTTGTTGGGGGTATTTACAAGGATATCTATTGTAAAACCATGATAAAATAATAATAACATCTATAGAGCACTTTTTTTTTTAAAGTGACAAAACTGGAACTGAATATTTCGGTGTGTGTCATTTAAAAAAGAAAAGAAAAAACATTTAAATATAAGACGATAAATCAATGACAGTAAATGTAATAAAAACCTTATTTAATAGACATTTAAAGGTGGGGTATGTAATTTATTTCAGAAACACTTTTTGTTATATTCCATGGAATGCTCTTAACATCCCGATAGCAATGAATATATAAAATGCTTTGACAATAAATACATAACATTTTTTAATCTGTGGAAGCCGTAGCGCTGTAAAAAGCACGACCAATCATTTTAGCCGGGCCGGCTAAAATGACCGGCTAAAATGATTGGATGGCCTACCTGCCTGTCAGCCTTCCATCTGTGCACAAACTTATCTCGTGCCCTCATTGGTCATGTGCACGTTCGTGTGTGTTGGAGGAGGGGCTCTATAAGGAAGTGGCAGATTTTTTCCGGTTGTGTATTTTCAAATTCTAGCGCACTCGAGCTGGTTTCTCCAAAATTACCTACCCCACCTTTAATGTTAATTTGTTTAATTATTTGTTTTATCTGATTTAGGAATCAATTGTGCGTGTTTGATAGATGCTGCAAAAAAGTCTAAAATACAGTGTTGCTGTAGTCACCTGCATTCTACAATTAACAGTTAAAGGTAGGGTAGGTAAGTTTGAGAAACCGGCTCGAGATCGCTAGAATTTGAAAATACACAACCGGAGAAAATCTGCCACTTCCTTACAGAGCCCCTCCTCCAACACACACGAACACGCACATGACCAATGAGGGCACGAGATAAGTTTGTGCACAGATGGAAGGCTGACAGGCAGGTAGGCCATCCAATCATTTTAGCCGGCTCGGCTAAAATGATTGGTCGTGCTTTTTACAGTATTACGGCTTCCACAGATGACATTTTTTTATGGATGTTTTGTCAAAGCACTTAAGATATTCATTGCTATCGGGATGTTAAGAGCATTCCATGGAATATAACAAAAAGTGTATCTCGAGCCGGTTTCTCAAACTTACCTACCCTACCTTTAAGCTTCTGATCTCACTTTACTTGCATTTGTTAGTGGGGAAATGCTCACTGTAAAGGAAAACTGTGTGCAATCGACAGCACATACACATATACAATTAAAATAAAGCTTCATATGTGAGCATTGAGGAGTCTGACTATTTTTGCCTTTTTTAAACACACTTGGTGTATTGCAGCATTCTCTGAAAAGGGAAGGGGAAGAAGGAGGAGAGGAAAG